ACCTACATCATCTATCAAAAAGAAACCATCCACACGTTCCAGAGGTCGAAGCATAACTCCTGAAGTTCAACCTGTTGAAGGATCTGACACATCTCTTTACAAGCCTCAGTTTGTATCTCCTGCTGCTCAGGACAAATGGTCTACTATGGTCAGAAGAGATCTTATTGTTCAACGATCTGTGGATGAGAACCAACTGAACTCCGTATGTGATATTCTACCTCTGTTGAATGAAGTAGGATTGCTGAAGACTGTCACTGCCATCTGCCCATACTCAAAGCTCCTCACGTATGAATTCTACTGTAATCTCAATGACGAGATTGACATCTTAACCGGGCCACGACCAATGCAGATTTTCATCAGAGGGAAGTGGTACAGTTTTTGGACTGACATGATCAATGAATACTATGGACTGACTGCTGTGCAAGAAGATGCAATCACAAACTGGAACTTGGTGGCCAAAACTCTTACGGGTGGACAAATTGAAGCCTGGCCTACGGGTGACAAGGATTATCTACAGAGCTCTCAACTCACATCCAGATATGTTATTCTGCATCGCCTGGCTCTTCACAACTGGCTCCCATCAGCTCATTTCCACACGGTTGGCAAGCATCTGGCAAGTTTCTTGTTTCGAATTGGACTAAAGATGCCGATTGATTTGGGAAACTGGATTTACCACCACATCCTCACCATGATTCACCCACGAGAGCAGAAGGTAAGGCTACCCTTCCCGAATCTGATTTATGGCATTCTTACAACTCAGGGTCTTGAGCCTATGCCGAGCGAAGTGATCAGTCCAACTCTACTCTATACTGTTGATAAACGTCTTCTGACTGGAGATCACATTCGCGATGTTGTTCCGATGACTGCCCCCTCCAATTCTGAACCTGATACTGTGGCTGATGACTCACCCCATGCAAAGGATGTTCATCTCTCCAATCAGTTGAAGGCAAGGGTCTCTGACCTTGAGACAGTACACAGCATTATTGCTAAACAACTGACAGGGGCCCGTACTGAGCTGGCAACCGTTCTTCTTCGTTTAAGCCTATTTGAAGATGCTGCTGCTGAACCTGCGAAGTCCGACAGTGACGCTCCCTCCAATGCTTGATCTTTGGCTCTCAATGGCAAAAAGGGGGAGTAGTATGAACTCAGGGGGAGTTTTTGTGTTTGTGTACCTTCTGGCCCTGGCTGGGCGTTGTTTTGATGGCACCACTGCATGTTTTTGAAGATTGATCTTAAACTGTGTTTTGATCTTTTGTTATGTTTTCGTTCTGCTATGTAATCAGATCTGTCTCATGGGTTGTTTCTTTATAATAACCTATCTTAGTTCTTTATGTTTTTGTCTATCTATAGTCGAGTTGTTTTGCCAAATAATAGCCAAAGGGGGAGTTTGTTAGTGTTTTTAATTGTTCAAAAAACCCCATCTTATAATTGGCAATATTATTATGGCATACTAAGATAGGTTTAGCTTGTGTCCATCCAGCTTTACAGACGACTGATCAATCAGAAGCAACAAAAGAAGGATTGACACTGAAGATCTGATTTAAGAAGGTATTGACTTAAAAGCTGTACGCGGTTTACAGGAGACAGATTTGGAAGGAAGATCAGCGTATCTGCTTTGGAAAGGTATGGACCGAATCTTTAAGATTACTTTCTTCAAATATTGTCCTACCATCTACAATCAAAGACATCTTTGGAAGGAGTGTTCTATCGACGGATCTATAAGTACCATCAATCTAAGAGAATTAGAGTTACGCCTTACGTAAGAAGAAATACTCCACATCTGCTATATGAGACTAGATCTTTGATTGTCATGCATCTTCTCAATACAACATGTTCATGGTGATTAAGATGATGAACTTGAGAAGAATCACTGCTGCTTAAACGAAAGGACACTGTGATCACACTGTTGTGGGAACAACTGTATAGAGCGTCATTGAAGTGGACTGCATCAGAGTGGGCTCTCTAAGTGAAGGGATTTCATTGGACTTCTGTATACATGGCTCTCCATCTTCAACAATCCACTAAACCCGTGTAGACTGGGTATGTACCTTGTATGGGGCACTTGGGTAAGATTATTATATATCTACCTTTGTACATTGGATTATGATTTAGTGGATTGGACACCTATGTGATCGTCCCCCAGACGTAGATACACATTGTATCGAACTGGATAAACATTCTGTGTCTTTGGCTTTGTGTTGTTCTTTTCTCTTTTATCTTCTCTATGATTTATTATTACTGACTGACTTCATCGCTGAATCAGTTAGTACATTTCATCAGTTGATTAATCCAGTTAATCTGTTTAAAAAAGAGGGAATGCAAAATTACAATGAGACAAAATTATTTTTCCCCCTTTTTTAACCTAAAATTGATGCTTGATAACAACAATGGACATTTTGGACTTTATACTACTTATTCCCTTTCAATACCCATGTATACCAAACATTGGAATTGAAATTTCCAGTAATTTTATTCTTGTAAACCAAACGCTGAAATTTAAATTTCCAGTAATTCATCCCCCATGAAATTGTAATTCCTTTCCCACGTAATTTGCCCCTCCAACTAAACGCCCCATTATGGGGTGTTTGGTAGGATGAAATTGCAATTCCATTCCTACCAAACTCCATAGAATTGCAATTCCGTGGTTTGGTTGGAGGGGATTATAATTCCATGGAATTGCAATTCCATGCATTGTGAAATTGTAATTCCATTGTAAATTACCACTTTACCCTTATTATTATTATTATTATTATTATTATTATTATTATTATTATTATATCTAAAAACATAATAAACTTCAATGATGGTTATGTCCTTGGGTTTATGTCCTTGTTTTTATTGTTGTGTTGATTGTACATTATGTTATGAATATTGTACATTATTTGTTTTATGACAGAATTGCCTAAGCATATTCTGTTACTGTCAAATGCTACTGCATATTCTGTTAAATATTATTAATTATTTATTATTAAGGTTGGCAATTGCATAAATGAGTAAGACCTAAGTCCACGTTTCCTAAACTTCAATTTTCATCTACCTTATCGCGAATTGAGACTCAGACTGTCAGATATACGTTTCTCCTTCATCTTCCTTCGTTGCTGAGAATCAGGTATTGTACGTTTCCGCTTTCACGGAATGGATAGAAATCTCAATAGTTTCATGTTATTCAAGTTTCATCTTCCTTATCGTACAATAACAATACGTTTCCGCTTTCTCCGTCTGAATTTGATATCGCAGAGATTGGGAAGGATTGAAGCAATTCAAACCTATTATTCAGGTTTCATCTTCCTTATCGTACAATAACAATACGTTTCCGCTTTCTCCGTCTCAATTTGATATCGCAGAGATTGGGATGATTGAAGCAATTCAACGGACTCAATGGGCTTTCTAATGTTTTCATCAAAGGTAAATTTATGTTTTCTAATTTTATTCAACACTTTTCTCCGTTGTTCACCCAGTATGCCTTTTTTACTCCATCTATCCTCTGCTATTTAAAGACTCCATTGTACAACAGTGAAGGCCAATAGCTGCATTTTATTTTTTTTCGTTTATAAAAATTTAGTGTGTTTCTCCCAGCACAAGTTTCTTTAGAGGTTTGTTTTTCTCAACAACTTTAATTAATTATTTATGTTGTTTAATTTGATTTTTTTTCCCTTGTGTATAACTATGTGATTCAGTAGAAAGACATATTGGTAAATACATATTGTTAGAAGTAGTAGGTCTCATTGGTAAATGTCGTACTTTCCCTTGTGTGTGACTTGTGTTTCCTTTCATGTCGTTCTTTCACTAGGATATCAGTTAAAATGCACATTGGATCATTAGTCTGTCAGTTAACATACCCCCAAAAGTTCGGGTCTTAAGCATTTGGAATAGGCTTGTCTTCTTGTTGCTTGTCCCTAAAAGGCCAGAGTGCATTTGCTCTATTATCTCCAAGTTCTGGACACTGATATCAAATAACAAGTACAACATTCATACGAGATATTTTCCCAACACTTGCCACTAGGATCTATAATCTATTCCAATGATGTATAATAGCTGAAAAGGCAGGCACAATGGTAGGAATTTGTAGATTAATAATCTATAGTAATAAATAAACCAAATTGTTATTAACAAGGCTACCTGGTAGAATCAATATTCATGTGGTCAAATAATCCGTTAAAGGTGACCTGGAAGAATAGTAAAGTAAATTGCTTAATTTCACCTTAACAGAAGCAGAAATTTTGGTTTCTGTTTGAAGTGTAGACTTAATTTGATGTTATATTCCATAATTATGCATACAAAACAAAAGCTTGATGTATTCCAATGGAATTTTTTATTATGGTATGTAGTTGTAAGAATTTTGCTTTCATTTCATTTGAACTGCAGACTTAATTTGGTTACTTTTTTTTTTTTTTTGCTTTATGTTTCTTTCTGATTTCTAAATTGTGAGGAATGAAATAAACCAACAGCTCTGGCCTAATGCCATTAATAATAGAAAGATTTCAGCTTTGATTATGTACTGTTCTTGTATACCACAATCAGGCAACAATTATCATATTTTGATGACTATGGATTCATTCATACTGCTTGCAGACTACCTAGGATCAGCATTTAGATCCTTTCATATTGTGAACAACAAAGTATAAAAGCCAATTAATCATTCAACTTGGCATGCACGATGGCATTGACATTTTAGTTGTCAATAATACAATGTAGAGTTTGTGATATTTTCCTTTTCCTATTTCATCTTGCAATTCAATTTTATAATGGGTTACTATTTCTTGCTTTTTTAAGGATAAAACTTTTATGTTTCTTTCTGATTTCTGAATTACTAAGAATGTTGTATAGTTTTTATGCTTATGTAGTTATTATTATATCACTTTCTCTGGTATCTCGCTCCCTTATGATGCACATGCTTTCATGAATATCTTGTATTGCTACTACATATTCATAATATATATTAACAGATATCCTCAAGGAATGATTGGGTTTATTATTATTTTTTTTTTCATAAACGGAATCTCACCTTTTAATCCCTCAAATCACAACTGAGATAAAACAATGGACTTGTAAAGTTTGTGTTATTGAAAAGTTGAACACAAGAGAGTCAAAGACCAAACCCGGAACCTTGTACAAACCTATAACATTTCAAGATGAAGCGGTTACTCATTTTATCATTCATGAATTTTAAACATAATTCTATTGTGCATATTTTAAGCTTATGAATATTTGTTATATTTTGTGCTTAACTATTGACATCTATTTTGAAAATATAATTATAGGGCAACAAAGTTCAAGGAATGACTTATCAGAATGATATTGAACTGCTTGATGAAAGGCTCAAGTTATACTCCACATATATTATCTCTAATGCATTAGTCTCTCGTGCTAATGAATTTTTCAATGTCCCAGATGAGAAATATAGGTTTGTTTGGTCAATTAATAGAAAAACTCTTATACAAGATGTCGATGATGATCAACAATTGGATTTGCAACCTTCTTCTGACATAGATACAAAACCATTTGGACAATTGTATGCCCACAAATCTAAAAGACACGCAATCAGTGAGTTTAGATTCTTCCATGTGTTTTTTATTTGTAATCAATTATTTATATTTAGAACATATTGTGTCAATCTAATTCTAATATTATTTGTAGATATCATTGGAGTTGTGATTTCTAAACTACCAAGAGAATTTATTGTCACCAACCGGACAGGACAACAAAAAGCTAATGATTTTGTAATGGTTGATGAAGAGTATGTTTATTCAATTTATTTAAGTTTGAAGTTTTTAATTGTCTATTATAGTTTGGAAGGAAGCATGATTAATTTACACCTTTATGTTTTGTTTTTAGATTATTTTCTTACATTGTGTATCAACAAATAAAATATTATTGTCAACTAAGCTTGCCATGATCTATTTATAAATAACTTATTAATCTCATTATAAATTCTTTAATAATCTCCTAGGCTTAAACCTATCATTTTCACAATGTGGGGAAATTTTACGGTTTATCAAGGGATTGAAATTGACAAAGAACTCCAATAAGGAGATTATCCAGTTGTTCTTGGAAGAAGGATTACTGTCACCCCATATCAAGGTTTGTATGCGATCTTAATATTGTGGAGACCGCATTCTGGATGTTCCATTTTGTGTTATACAGAGTAAAAAAATTTCTGTAGTAGTCAAGCCTTTTATGCTTATATCTTTAACTAAAAATAAATTGCCTCAATAAAACCATGCAAGCCATAAATTCAATCCTTCTAACTCAAATGTTGTCGGTAGGATGAAAGGATGAACTTGTCATTTTCCTTATCAAGTGTGTTTAACATGTTAAATAGGAATTTCCTTATCTACAAGATCTGATTCTGGTGTAGAAGTGAATCCGTTTGGTAAACGTGCTGAGGCTCTTAAAGAATGGTAACCTAAATTCATCTTTTGTCTTTCAATTATATCCTATTTGTTCCACATACTAAATGGTTCTATGCTGTCGATATGGCGAAGGCTAATTCTTTGGTTATTGAAAGATTGATTGTTGAAAAAGCACATAACAATGCTGTTAGTGAATTGGCAAGTCCTCTAGATCAACAAATATCACCAATTACAAATTTAAAAAAGTCGTTTGAGCAGGTTTCTCACTAATGTTACACTCTTTTATTGTTTACATTTTCTTTTTAACTTCTTTTACTCATTTTTATTTTTATTTTGTTATTTTTATGCATATGTTCAAAATTAAGTCAAAAGCAGTCTGGGTTAAATCAAAGATCATACTCATAGACAACGGAATCCTACCTACTAAATTGGTTGTAACTATTGTGACAAGAAAATTAATTGTAATGAAGGTATTAAATTTCGATGCATGTTTTGTGGTCATGCCAATGCAATTTCTATCAAGAGGTAAATCATAACTCTTCAACGTACTTGTACACATACTTATAGTATTATTATTTCATAGTAATCACGAGCCTTTTTTTTTTTTTACAGATATAGATTAATTGTTGAGCTATTTGATGGGACAGATAGAATTGAAGCAACAATGTTTAATCGTCATGTGGATAAGTTATTTTCTTTAACCGAAACAGAGAATGGCAATGATGGCTTTGATTTTTAAAAGCTCCAAAAAAAACTTGATACACCCACTTTTGCCGTTGAGCTTAGATGTCAACCCCAAGACCGGGGAGAAATGACAACAACTTACACAGTTGCATCTATTTGTGAAGATATATCAACTTCATCAATTACCGGTACTAAAAAGAAACTTGCCTTTGGAGAATCTAGCTATCTGGTGGAAGACTCAACAAATTTACTGCCCTCAAATGTTCACAATCACTGTGTGAGAGAAAAACGTCCTAGACTTGAGTGATATTGTGATTTTCACTTATATGAAGTCTTTATGTTACTTTTGTGCTATTTCAATAATTCATGAATCATGACTCAAGTGTCTATATAGACACAAATAAAAGTTATTGATTTTGAATTTTATGTTATATCAAGTAATAATAATAATTTTTATAATTATTAGTTATGTTGTTGCTTGTAATCAATAATAATTTCATTACTTAAATATATTATAAGGTGTAGGAATAACCCTAAATTTTCATTTTCATAAACATGAGAATTTATAATAAAAAAGTGATATCAATTAAATTAAAAAAGTTCAAAGTTAATAAAATTTCATAATAAAAGTAAAATATTAAAAATAAGTTAATAAACTTTCATAGTAAAAGTAAAAATATGTTTAATAATTTAAAGTCCCATAGTATATATTTCCTTTTTTAATGAAGTCCTATAGTATATAACTTCACATTCATTAAAGAAAAATATAAGGCAAAGAAAATTGGACAGTAGGAAAATATTCCATCATTATTTTAGTTGTGATAACTAAAGTTAATGATGGTATTGATATTATTTTCTTTTCAACAAAAATAATGATTCTAAATATGTTTGATAGGATGAAAACACAATAAACCAATTAAGTAAATAAACTGATATATTTATTTTATAAAATATGCTAAGTTAATTTGATAAATTAGACTGTGAACTTGTTATTCTATATATATATATATATATATATATATATAGAGAGAGAGAGAGAGAGAGAGAGAGTTTCATATGTGAAGCTTAATTAAAATGTTAATTTCAGGACTGATGAGCCGTGTATTTTAATTTAATTAATAGTATTACCATTCATTTTCTTTTCTGCTTTGCATTGTTTTGTATAATTATTTTTATAAATGGCAATTTATTTATGAAAAAATGAAATGATCCATTAAGGATGGAAGAAATTTTGTTTAAAATAGGAAATAAAATTCATTGAAAAGGTGAGAATAACAGAGAGAGTGAGAGGGAGAGACAGTGAAGAACAAGGTGAGAATGGTCTATTGTGTAAAACAACAGCCACCAACAAGGTGAGAAAAAGGAGAAAATGACACTCACGAACAAGAAAATACACGTAGACAAGTATCGAACGCGGAACGGCCGAGAAAAGCAGAGAGAGTGAGAAAGAGATTGAGAGCGAGCGAGGACACCTGCGTAGATCATAGTTAGTATGTGTACAATCTGATATTTGCTCCATTTTCACTCTCCCATGTCTCCAACACCTTGCTAACATACGCGTCGCCACCTCTCCCCGCCAGGTGAACTGCCTTCCAACTTCTATACCTCTGCATTTTTATCTGTGTTTTGTTCTATTTGTTGAATCTTCGTGTAAATCTTACTTAGTGATATGATCGTGATTATGGTTCTGCACATTATATTGCATTATAGCTAATTAATGTGCATATACTTTTGAATCTTTAATTACAAGGGCAAATTTAAAGGGTTATACGTCATTCATTGAATTCACATTCGTAGAGATACATATATACAAGAAGAAAGTAGAGAGAAAGGATGGCAGTTCCACCGGGGCAGGCCTCGAGCGAACTATGATTCTCTTATAAAGCTGCTCCTCATTGACAAAAGTGGTTAGTATCCTTCTTCCATTCGCGTTATCTCACATCTGCAGTTTCGTTATGCCCTTACATATTCATAGAATAGCTTATTAATGTATGGCATTAATTTTTTCCAAATGGTTAATTCATCATTCTATGTCTAAGAGGTGATGAGTTATTGTATGGGTTCTATACAGTTTCAACAGTTTGTGTTGTGTACATCATTTTAGAGTTTTTCTTCTTATCGGAAATGTCTTTCTGTCCACATGGTAAGTGTATTTTAGTATGGTGAATCAAATGCATATACCAAAAACAATGGTCAATTGAAATTTATTTTTCCTTGTATTTTATGTGCTCCTTACCCCATTATAATCATTACTTATAAGTTATAACAAAGTTAATTAGTTACTTATGCATTTGTTTTGCCCGCAATCATTTTTTGTCCATTCAGATTTACTATATTGATCTCATTTTTATTTTCAAAATAAAGTTATATATGGTATACCTAAATTTTTATGCCAGTTTCGGGATTTATGTTATGTTATTATTTAAAAAAAATATCAACATAAAAGTCTATACTTGTAGTAGTGTATTCTTTATTATTTTTCTAATCTCTCATTCTGCTTCTTCTTATGAGCACGTTGAAATTTTACTGCTCCATTACATATGTACATATCTTAATTTTATGACATTTTGATTACAGTCATCTAAATTATCATTTGTTTTCTTTATCATTCTTTCAAAAGGTTGAACCCCAACCGTAAGGGCCTCCCACACCCCGACCAGACAGAGCATTTGGGAGGATGTAAATCATGGTGACTCAACTGAACATGAACCATAGAGGCTAGACCTTTGCTCACTGCGCACAAGGAGCCCCCCTCACTTTGAGAGGTTGCTCCCACACTGCTTGTTTTCTTTATCATTGATTTGGAATGTTCTTATACATAGACACCAATATTAATTGTCCTACATAGATTAAAAATTATCGATAATTTCTAATTATGTAATTTCTTTCATCTTCTTTATTAGTAATGAATAATTGTGGTCCTTCTTGACCTACTATTGATCGAGCTGAGCGAAATAGAAAAGACAGAGAAAGATATGCTCGAAATGTTGCTCAACGTGAGAATAGAAATCTCAGGCGTAGACTTGCACTTGATGCCTCCGCTAAAGAAAAAGAAAAAGGGTTGTCAGATACTCATAGAACAAATCATAGCAACGAAATTCCAGGTACTTACAATATACTAAAATTTTGCAATTACATTACATACATTTCTTTTATATATTTTATACTTGTCATCTTATAGTAAACTGATTACTTTACACTTTCTTTGCCAAATTACTTCACATATTTTTACCAAAATATATTAAAACTAAATTTATACTACTATGTACACAAATACATATATATATACCTCCATGCTATAAATCCAAAAAATAAAAATAAAAATTATTCCAACTTTTTACACGCTTAGTGAGAAATGCAAATACCTCCCAACATAATCCATTTACATTGACTCCCATAAATGATTGTAATTATTGTGGGGCGAAACGCTTTCAATATGAACCACCAGGCTTTTGCTGTTCACGTGGACAAATTACGCTAATCTCAAATGAAATTCCTACAATTTTAAGGAATTTATTTGTTGGTCAACACTCTGCTGCAAAACATTTTCAAGCTACTGTCGGAACCTATAACAATACATTTGCATTTACTTCTTTGGGAATACAAAACTACGATAAAGAGCTGTGCAGACAAAATAAAGGAATCTACACATTTAAAGTTCAAGGTCAGATGTATCACTTTGTGAATGATTTGTTACCTAATGGTTGTCTTCCTCGCAATCTGCAACTCTATTTCTATGACACTGAGCATGAACTTGATAACAGACTTCAAGGTGCTGATAGGATGGACAGAGATATTGTTAGTGCAATTATTGAACTCATGTTAGGAAATCCATACAGTCAATTTTTCAGAAGTCTTAAAGATATTGCTCAGACTGACGAGTTTAGCATAATATTGCGTTCAAATGTTTTAATGGATCAAAGAACTCACAACATGCCATCTGCTTCTCAAGTAGCTGCAATATGGATTGAAGAAAATGGAGATGGCCTGGATGGGAATAGAAACATTAGGGTATATGCACATAGTGGGAGGTCACAATATATTCAATACTATTATGGTTGTTATGACCCCTTACAATACCAACTTCTATTTCCACATGGCGATATTGGTTGGCATGAAGGTATTCAGAGGTTTCATCGCGTGAACAATTTGGTACTGCAGGATCGAGGTAGTCATTGAATATTAATCCAAATAATATTGATTCAATTGAAGAGTTGATTCAAGCTGAAGAATGTGTGTTTGCCGAAGGTAGAAAAAGAACATCGGTGTCCTGTAGAGAATATTATGCATATAAATTTCAAGTGCGATTGGGAGACAAATCAATGTTGCTACACACTGGGAGACTATTGCAACAATTTATCGTTGATACATATATCAAGATTGAAACTCAAATACTGGATTATTTTAGGAAAAAATAGCAAGAAAGTCGTTCGGAGACTTATCAAGAACTTGTGGATAGCGTAGAAACCGGCGCCACTGTTGGTGCTGATGTTGGCCGCAGGGTTATTTTACCCGTATCTTTTATAGGAGGACCACGTGATATGCGAAGAAGATACATGGATGCAATGTCACTTGTGCAACGATTTGGCAAGCCTGATTTGTTTATAACAGTAACATGTAATCCTAATTGGCTAGAGATTAAATAACTTCTCAAATATGTTGATGAACCACAAAACAGGCCAGACCTTCTTACTCGTGTTTTTCGTGCTAAACTTGAAGAGCTAAAAAATGACATCTTTAAGAGACAAATTTTTGGAGAGGTTGCAGCATATGCATATGCGATTGAGTTTCAAAAAAGGGGACTTCCTCATGCTCACTTTCTTATTATTTTGAAGAACAAATTCAAAATTACAACTCCTGCTCATTGTGACAGATTTATAATTGCCGAGATTCCTAATAAAGAAAGTGAACCACACTTATACAATCTGGTTAAAAAGCATATAATTCATGGTTCATGTGGTTCTCTAAAACCCAATTGTGCTTGTATGCTTCGCCAACAACAACAAGTTGATTCATCTTGCAAAAATAAGTATCCTCGATCATTTAATGATGGCACTACTTTTGACGAAAACTCCTACCCTATATATCGTAGGAGGGACACTTCAGCAAACGTTGTTGTCAGAGGACATCACCTTGATAACCGGTGGGTTGTCCCTTTTAATCCATATTTGTTCGCGAAATTTGATTGTCATATAAATGTTGAAGTATGTGCAGGGATCAGATGTGTGAAGTATATATATAAATATATATATATATATATATATATATATACAGGGGACACGATAGAATCAGCCTAAGTTTATACACTGGTACCGATGTTCATGAGTTTGATGAGATTAAAGAATACCAAAGTGCAAGATGGGTTTCACCACCTGAAGAGGCTTGGAGAATTTATGCCTTCCCAATTGTTGAAATAAAGCACGCCGTTGTGCACTTACAAGTTCATCTGCAAAACTATCAGTACCTTAATTTCCACGGCAATGACAGGTTGGTTAATATCGTTGAAGATGACTTCACTTCTCGCACAATGTTAACACAATTTTTCTACATGAATCGTGTGGATGAAGTTGCAAAAAAACTCAACTTGCTTTATATTAAATTCCCTGAATATTTTGTGTGGAACAATCAAAGAAAAATGTGGACACGGAGAAAGAAGAAAGAAGTCATAGGCAGACTTGTGACAGTCAATCAACTGAAGGAGAGCGTTACTATTTACGCCTATTATTGATGAATGTTAGGACACCCAAATCATTTGAGCACTTAAAAAATGTCAATGGCCATTAGGCAGTTACATTTCGTGAGGCAGCTGAAAAATTGGGTTTGTTATCTGGGGATCATATTGTCGAAAAGTGTCTAGATGAAGCAGTATTATACCAGATGCCATCAAGTTTTAGGAGACTATTTGCAACCCTTCTAATTTTTTGTGATATCACGAATCCTTGCAACTTGTGGAACAAATTTAAGTCATACATGTGTGAAGATCTACTCCGGACAAAACTACATACTGATGATGAAGTCCAACTGATGGTGCTTCAATTAATCACAAATACAGTAGAAAAAATGGGGAAGAAGATTGATGACTTTAACTTGGTCGATAACAAGTTATCTCTATCAACCCAAGAAAAGGAGGATAGAGAAATTGCAGCTGAATATGAAATACAAGTAAGTGAATATGACTTGCTTTGTGTGGAAAAATTGAATGTTGAGCAACGCAAAGCATTTGATACTATTATGACAAGTATTGTTTCGAACTCGAGTGGAGTTTATTTTATAGATGGCCCTGGTGGTACGGGTAAAACATTTCTATACAAATGATTATTAGCTACTGTCAGGTGTAAAAAATGGATAGCACTTGCAACTGCAAGTTCGGGAATTGCAGCATCTATTTTGCCTGGTGGTCGTACTGCTCATTCGACATTCAAAATACCAATTGATGGAGATGATAAGTATGTCTGCAATATTGAAAAATGAACTGCAGAAGCTATTTTATTAAAAAAATGTAGATTGATTCTTTGGGATGAAGCCTCTATGGCTAATCGCCGGGCTATTGAAAGCGTTGATACAACGCTTAGAGATATTATGGACACAGACCAAATTTTTGGAGGAAAAGTGGTTGTTTTTGGAGGTGATTTTCGACAGATATTGCCAGTTATTAGATATGAGAAGAAAGAAGATTTCATTGAAGCGAGTTTGGTTAAATCACCATCAATCTGGCTAAACATCCAACGATTAAAATTGGTCCAAAATGTTCGTGCAAATGACGATCCAGCATTTTGTGAGTACTTGATGAAGATTGGCAATGGAACTAAACAATTCATTGGTCAAAACAAGATTAAGATTCCATCCTCATTCATTATTCCATGTTCGGATGATGATATTTCTCTTGATGCTTTATTTCAATCTGTATATCCTGTCTTAGCATGTTGTTGAACTCTAAATAGTGAAGTGTGTATATTGAGATAGAGAATACAGTGAATCACTGAGTACAGGGAAACCTACACTTATATACAAGCTAATAGGAAACCCCAACCACTTATTTCAAATTTCAAATGGGTAGCTAGGAGAACTCTTCTAACAACCTTCTAACACTCCCCATCAAGTTGGAGCATAGATATCAAACATGCCCAAACTTGTTACATATATATCAAACCCGATTCTTACACAATCCTTTCGTGAATATGTCAGCCAGTTGATCACCGCTCCGAACGTGTGTAAGTGATATTAGTCCTTGCTCCATTTTTTCCCGTATAAAATGGCAGTCAACTTCAATATGCTTCGTCCGCTCGTGAAAGACTGGATTATTTGCGATGTGTATGGCAGCACAGTTATCACACCACAAATCTATCGGTAACTTCACTTCAACACCCACTTCTTTTAGAATGTTACGCACCCAGACTATTTCGCTTGCCACATGAGCCATAGCCCGGTATTCCGATTCTGCACTTGAGCGCGACACCACATTCTGCTTCTTACTCTTCCACGAGACTAAGTTGCCTCCTACAAACACACAATAACCTGTCATAGACTTCCTGTCGCCTGGTGAACCAACCCAGTCTGCATCGGAGAACGCCTCAACACGCATATACCCATGGTCAGCATAAAGAATCCATTTTCCAGGAACACCTTTCAAATATTTCACAATCCGAATCGCCGCTTCCCAGTGAGTCTGGATCGGTGCACTCATGAATTGACTGACCACACTCACTGGAAATGCAATATCTGGACGGGTAATTGTGAGATAATTCAGTTTTCCCACTAACCTCCTGTACCTCTCCGGATCTTCAAACGGCTCCCCTTCTCCTGTCAATAACTTCACACCTTGATCCATGGGCGTATCACACGGTTTTGACCCAAGCAGCCCCGTGTCACCGAGCAAGTCCAATTCCCAGAAAGTATTTCAACACTCCCAGATCTTTAGTATGAAACTCAGACCCGAGAAAGGACTTGAGCGCCTCGATCCCACTTGCATCACTGCCTGTAATTACAATATCATCTACATATACTATCAACAAAACACACCCATAGTTAGTATGTTTGTAAAAGACAGTATGATCATATGCATTTCTCTGCATTCCAAACTCAACAACCGCATTGCTAAACCGCCCAAACCACGCACGCGGAAACTGCTTCAGCCTATATAAAGACTTCTTCAGCTTGCACACTTTCCCAGACTCCCCCTGAGCAACAAACCCCGGTGGTTGCTCCATATAAATCTCATCACGCAAGTAGCCATGTAAGAAAGCATTTTTCACATCAAGCTGATGCAAGGGCCAATGACTCGAAGCTGCCAAAGAGATAAATATCCGCACAGAGGTTAACTTGGCCACTGGAGAGAACGTCTCGGTATAATCTATACCATATGTCTGGGCGTACCCCTTTGCCACCAAGCGTGCTTTGAGTCTAGCCACAGAACCATCCGGGTTCATCTTCACCACATACACCCATTTACACCCAATAGCAACCTTACTAGGGGGAAGCTGCACTAGATCCCTGACTCAAAGATTTTGGAACAGGAACAGACTCTAACTGGGACACAAAAGCACGTGAAGACGCTGATAAATTGGTATATGACACAATGGATGGAATGGGACGAACACAACGACACGTACCTTTCCGAACGGCGATAGGAAGATCCTGGTCTGTCGACGAAGATTCTGGTAAGGGAGGATTTACTGGTGGAACCAGTGGGGCTGCATGTGTATCAACTTCTCTGGGCCGCCTGTGATAAACCTGCGTAACAGGAGGCCTAGACTCCACGCCTACGGAGTCAGGGATAGTAACAACATATGTTAGAAAATCATCTGTCTCGGATCTACAACCAGACGAACCAGGGAGATCCTCACTGAATAAAGTATTCTCGAAGAATGAGACATCTGCAGAAACCAAGTATCGCCCCAAATCCGGGGAGTAACATCGATACCCTTTTTGAGTACTTGAATATCCCAGGAAAATACACTTTAACAACTTAGGATCGAGTTTCCCTCTTTGAGGACGAACATCCTGGACAAAACACGTACACCCAAACACTTTAGGAGGAAGGCAAAATGACGGTTTGGACAGGTAGATGAAATGACAAGGACTTTGACCCCCAAGGATTCTTGTAGGTAGGCGGTTTATTAAGAAACACGCTGTATGAACAGCATCTGCCCAGTAAACCCTAGGGACTTTCATTTGAAACAACAAGGCCCTAGCAACCTCCAACAGATGGCGGTTCTTACGTTCTGCCACACCGGGGGAGTGCTGACACAAGACGACTGACATACCATCCCATTCTGACTCATATAACTCGAGAAGGAACGAGAAAAATACTCAGTCCCATTATCACTCCGCAAAACCTGTATCATTTTATTGAACTGAGTTTTGACCATCGCACAGAAATTACAAAAGGTCCCGAACAATGCATCTCTAGATTTCATGAGGTATAGCCAAGTGTGTCTAGAGAAATCATTTACAAAAGTTACAAAATATTTAAACCCAGATTTCGATACTACTCGACATGGACCCCATATATCTGAGTGAACCAATTGAAATAAAGACTCGACTCTATTATTGACTCTAGGAGGGTATGGTACCCGACAATGCTTAGCAAGCTCGCATGACTCACATTGCAAGCTAGACAAAGATTCTAACCCCGGACACAACTTCTTTAAGACAGACAATGGCGGGTGACCATACCGGGAGTGCAACTGCAACGGAGACATATTTCCCAATAAACCAACCGGAACACCTCCAGAATCTTTGGACAGCCGTTCTAACACGTACAGCCCACCGACCTCCTTCCCTTCACCAATAATCGTTTTCGTCAACAGATCCTGAAACAGACAATATCCAGGGAAGAACATGACACAACAATTTAGGTTCCGAGTAATTTGACTAATTGACAATAAATTGAATGGGAACTTTGGGAGATATAACATAGAAGTGAGAGGTAACGACGAACTAACATTCACACTACCTTTACCTAAACAGAGGTGGATGAACCATCTGCTAAGGTAACCGTAGGACCATATTTAAAAGAATAATATACGGAAAACATACTTAGATTACCTGACATGTGGTCACTGGCTCCAGAATCAATGACCCACTGTCGATACGAGGAGGAAACACAAGCAATATGATTACCTATTTGAACAAAGGTAGCTGACGGAGACGGCAATGACCCTGGACTAGCTGTAACACCCCGTGTTACGGCCCCTAAGACCAAGTAATTGATTAATCTATGACCCATAAGAAAGAATAATTTATTATGATCAAGTTGGGAAAAAGGCCCACCATAGTCCGTGGACCCCCACCCCTAAAGCCCATTACCTAATCCTAGGAGGATTAAACCCCCATGGTATATAAATAGGGAACTTAGAAGACATTTAGAATCCCCACCACAATAATCTCTCACCACCCAAAGAGCTCCAAGAATTCCCCTAGGAGAAATCAAGAAGTCAAGAAAGCTTAAAAGAAAGATCCTTCATAGCCAAGGAATTAATTAAGGCTAAGAGGTAACCCATGTCTCAACAAAACCTATTTTCATAGCTATGATTTCCCCTTAGGGTTTCCCCCCATATTGTTGTAAATGGCGATTAATGATGATTATTATTGATGTCGATATAATGATTCCATGAGGAATCTTGATAATCTTGATATTGGGAGTTTCTTGATAATTATGATGTTCTTGATGATTAATTGAGGTTTTGATGATTATGTGTTGTTCTTGATAATTATGATGCTTTTGATGATTAATTGGTATCCTTGATGATTATGTGTTGTTCCTGCCGAATCTTGCAATTAGAAGACGAATTGTATTCTTGTTGATATAAAAGTGATTAGAACCCTAGGTTGTATCGTATGATATTATTCTTGGATTATCGGGTGGGGAAATCGCATGTTTGGGTGTTGATTATGCATGATAGGTTAGGTGTCGTTCGTTTCTCGTATTTGATCCGTTAATTGTCTACGTGTTGTCGTTAATTGCGTTGTAAAGTGTCTAAGCATGGTTTCGGGTTCCACAACGGTTCAGCGGGCAGCCGGCGGGCGGGCAGCTGCCCGCCGGGCACCCGCTGCCCGGAACAGTGATGGCCGGCGGGCAACCGGCGGGTGGACCCCCACCCACCGGCTACCCGCTGGAATCTTCCCCCCCTCGGGACCCCGGCTTCCCCGTTTGATGTTTCCCCGATCCCCGTGGTGTCCCAACGGACCCCGTTTGTCGTGCCTATGTCTAGTTTGGTATTTCGGGTACCGTTCGTAGGTTTATGAGTCGATTATATTGCATGCTAGTTGAATTGGTATCCCGTTGACCTAGGTGGAAGAAGTATGAACCCCTTAGGACTATTCTTAGTTGGTGATGGTTCACGCATAGGTTTATTTATACGTTTATTCCCCTTCCCAACGTGTAATGTGGGTTGTATGTGCTTGCTATGTGTTATGTGTGCGTGTTGCCCCAATTCGGTTGCGATCGGATTAGTTATTCCTGAGCTGCGGTTCAGAAGCCGGCTACAGTCAGATGGGAATTCTTGGCTGTAGTCGGATGACGATATCCTGGGCTGCGGTCCAGAAGCTGGTTGTAGTCAGATGGGAATTCCTGGCTGCAATCAGATGACATTTTCCCGAGCTGCGGTTCGGAGGCTGGCTGTAGTCAGATGGGAATTCCTGGCTACAGTCAGATTACACATTCTTATGAGCTGCGGTTCATCGGTCGGTTGCGATCGACCCCTCCGTGTTGCGATACGGGGCAGGGTGCTGCGGGGCCGTGTCAGAGCTATATGCGCTGACCCTCATGTATGGGCATGCGATTGGTCCTGTGGCGCCAACAAAGTGTGCTATGTGTTGTGATATGGATGAGTGGTGATCATGAGTGTCTTGGGGGATGTGACTATGGGATTTATATTGGGGATTGTTCATGTTGGGTTATGATCATTGTTTATGCCTTGCCTTATCTGTTGTGAACTGCATATGCTCGTTATAACTGTTGCTTGTGTCTGGCCTTATCTGTCGAGTCGTTCCCGGTTTTAAAGCTAGAGTTCGTAGGATATATCTTCATGCTCAAAATGGTTTTCGTATATCTATATGTATATCTCTATATGTATTGTATTTCAACGCGTTGGAGTGGGTTACCAGCATCTCTCGCTGAACAGATATATTTGGCTTTCAGGCACAGAGGATTAGAGCACTGGAGCGCGCTAGAACTGGAGCGTAGAAGTAGTATAGTTTCCCTTTCAGCCTGCGTGCCATATTATGCATTTATATTTCGGAGGATAGTAGTTAGACAGCCTGTGCACCTGGGTTCTCTAGCCCAGGTGTGGCATAGCACCCCGTACACTTATGTTACGCTTTGGGATTTAATGAGATGTTACCTTTATTATTAAGTTTTAAATGTCTTGAAAATCAGGGGTGTTACACTAGCGGGAGACTGCGAGGAAAACAACTTTAACTGATTAAACAAAGCCAACTCTTCTTCAGTTATCATAACCGTCCCTTCTGGTCTAGAGGCAGAATTAACAAATCTCCTATGGTCGGAGAGCTGTGGACATTGGTTACGCAGATGACCGGGATCACCACAATTATAGCAAGCCCTTTGCCCTCGACCTCCTCCGCGCCCTCTACCTCATCCCCTGGACCAACCTCCTCGATTATTGGCACTATCAGTCCCATTATCTCCCTGTGAGAAAAAGACTTGTTTCTCCAACGTACTATCAGTACCAAGGTTCACTGACGCATTTTGAACCATAGAAAAAACTTGGTCGAGCGAGTCTAATTCCTTATTCCCTAATAATTGTGATTTCAAAACATCATACTCCTTATCCAACCCAGAAATCCAACTAAAAATATGCAACTGAT